TCAAATAAATTCAGATAAATATTGAAAGACAGTGGCTTTGTTCATGTGCCTGCTATTTTTATTGCTTTCTCTCCCATAACACATGAAGCCAAGCAACTAAAGGATCTGTTGCTTGTATTTTAGCTTCAAGACTTCAGCTCTAAAAGTTCTGATAGAAATGTTACAACACAATTGAAAAAAGATTCAGTTCTCTTAATAAGAATTTTAGAGACAGCTGCATCCCTAATGTGTCTGTCTTTCAACTGCAGCTTAATATCATATAAATCAAGTAGCATTATGAGAGTGAGAGTAATATCATGGGAGGGACTATGTGCCCAAGTTGTTAGCATACAGTATTAGAAATAGATTAATCTGATTAAATTTTAATATAAAATAAATTGCATTTGCAATTTATTAAGATTCTTTTCCTGGGCTGATACTGCTCATCTGTAGCATCCTTCATAACTGATCTTTACGCACAGCTTTATTTAATCAGCAACGTGGCCAACTGGAATGAAACAAATGGAAAAATATTTGAGATTGTAACTATATATCTCTGAATATCATTTCCATAGATTTATTTGCTTCCTTCTTTCTGCTTAGATCTCATGCCCTTGACTTCCTGAATTCACAGTTTTCACAATACGTCTGATCTTTGAGTCATCGATGCCAGTAACAGAGCATCATCTTGAGCAAGGAAAATTCAAATCAAGTAGAAAAGCATCAGCTGGTCCCAGTCTGGCCTTGCTGCAGTACTCACTGACCCACACTAGTGGCTTTGTAGAAGTGATACTTTTTAGTAGCAGCTTTCCCACCAAAACTTTGTAGAGTGGCAATGACAGCCTTAGGAAAAAGAGCTTCTTAAGTGATTCTCAGCTGAAGGCTCTTAACCTGGAAATGGCAGTGAGTTATTTCTAACCTGTGATCCTTTTGACTGAGGCTCCTGCCACCTGCACAAATTCTAAGCTGAATGGGAGCTCAGTGAAATACAAGTATTGTCAACAGAGAGTGTGGCTAAAGCCCAGGCACAGCTGATGTGCCCACACGGCTGCCCAGCTTCTTGCACTGAGAAATGCACCCTCCTTCACTCCTTGTAGGGCCTCATCGCTGGAATCTTTAGCAATTCCCCTGCCTAAATCAATGCAGTGGAAAATGTTACCGTGTCAACAACATTGACACAAGTGGTAAAAATGATCCAGGCACCACTCCTTTTCCTAGCTGCAGTTAGAAACACTTTGCACCGAGAGGAAGCTGAGTTGATCTGTTATGAAAATTTCCAGGCTATTCTGACTATTTGAAAAATGTACTTTTGACTTTTTGTTATGTGCTGTACTGAGGACACATCGGGAGCAATGGCTGGATTCGAAGAGTTCCAGTCAGAGATAAATCTAATTATAAACACTGAAACTCTGTTTCAATACCAGTAAATCAGTTTAGCCAGTAAAGCTAAAATCTCTCCATACATGGTTTTTTGACAAACAGTCTTTGAAGGTTTATATTGGATGATATCCTTTTTTTTTTTTTGTGATCATAGTGTTTTTTCCAGATGCCCATTTTATCAGCTCCATCACACCCTGTTTATTTTAACTTATCATATCTCAGGTTAAATCTACCACATCAGCTGCAGCGATCACAGACCGTAATGCCTGAAGCCAATTACAAATGCTACTGTAGCAAAGCCGTCACTACTGCTTATTCAGGATGGGGGGAGGGAAAGCTTGCTTGAGATGTGCAGCTCAGACAGTCTAAATTGTCATTTGGGGTAAGTTAGGGTAATTATTTTTTTAGCTTTATTCTATTTAATTTTTAACAGTAAAAATATACAGTAGGTGCCACCTCATATTGGAGTAGAAAAAATACACGAGTGTATATATTTTCACTGCATTAAAATAAAGGTGTGTGTGAAGTACAGCAGTTGAATATCAATGTGTAGATCTGCCACATTTTTCACGAACTTTAGGTAACACCTTATGTTCAAGACAAACCAACCTCTAACACGAAATTTCAAAACCACAGTATTCTTCTGCAGAGCTTAAAAAACCCCCTTTAATGCTAAATGTGTAACAGCTGCTCAAATTGTCTTCTTGATGTGACTGAAGAATCACTGTTTATCTACCCACTGGATCACCCACCCCAAACCAGCTCTTGCCAGCAAAATTTCACGTGAATACACACTCCTCTTGTAACTGAAGTGCATTTCAGGTGGGGTGGTGAAGGGCAGCAGCATTGTGAGTGCCAGCAGCTACATCTGTTTTTACTTTGCTTAAATTGGAAAGCAAGAAAAGAAAGATCTGAGTAACCAAGCAAAGTGGAGAAACCTCAGTATTGTCCTCGAATACTGTATCGGTTGATAACTCCATACTTTCTTGGTTTCTTCATTATTTATTTATTTGTTTAATAGAAATGACCTTCTAGAATGAAGGTTGGCTGGCATAAAAATATGGGCCATGCTTTAATACCAGAAACATTGGTTCTGGCCTGGTGCTTAACACCTTATTAATAAATAAATAAATAAATAAATAAAATCCCCAAAGAACAACAGCAAAAAGGGTTCTCCAGGTTTACTTGCAGTAAACAGAACAGCCTGACTTAACTAAGTGATAACTGACTTTCTCCCTAGAACCAGTGATCAGTGTTTTGAGTACTGCTATAAATGTTTGACAGTGCAGCAACCAACATCAGCTTTCGGCAGTTTACCTTTTATGTTTCAATTTAATTGACTTATGCAAGATAAGAATCTCAACTGACAATGTAAAATTGTTTTGTGATATTAGCACCCAGTGACAGAATATAAACATGCAGTACTTTGACCAGAGTTCATCAGAGTAAAGTTCTCCTTAGAATGGAAACCTACAGCTTTTTCTCTGTGAGATGAAAACTGTTCTGACATACTGAAGTAATCAGTTGAACAGCCATATAGATCACTCTCCTAGCCCTCCTCCCACCTAAATATAAGTGTTAGTCTCTACACATGAAACTACCCACGATTTTGATAATTAAAAACCCCACAACTTTCTGGATCTGTAATTCTATGTCTAGATGCTTGGATTTATCATCCTCTGCATATTTTTCATACTTCAGTTGTAGTAATATCCTTTTCTACTTTCCAATATTTCACCTGTTTGTTTTTTTCTCCCCCCCCCCCACCCTGAGATCAACATTGTGTTCTTATTGAAATGTAAAGCAAATTACTTGTCTTATTTTCACAATATGATTTATCCTGCGTCTCATACACAGAAAAAGTTTCTTCTTTCTTTGATGTCTGTCTTGCAGAAATATTCAGCTGAAGAGCCTTCCCCCCCCCCTTTTTAATTTCTTTACACCACACATCTCAGTGTGACTCTGTGTCTCTGTTATCCCTGCATGACATAACTTATGTGACTTGCATTTCCCTTCTGGTGAGTAATGTTTTCCATTACTAGGTGTTTCTTATTTGTCCCTTATTTCTTTCCTGACGTAGTTATTAATTCACTTCTGTCTGAAATGTCTTCTTGTGCTATAAACTAAGCCCTTTTGAGAAGGTGAGGGATGGGAACAAGAGAGAGCACCTTCACATGTACCTCTTCCACAGTTTGAATTCCCAAGTCTGGTTGCCTTTGTCAACTAAGGTTACTAGTTAAAAACCTACTTTCTTTTTAATGTAGCATCCTAAGCCTTAGCTGTCCCTCTGCCCTGACAGAAGATGCTGCTACTCTGTCCCCCATCAGCTTGTCTGGAAGCCTCATGTCTGGTTTTGGTTGCAGTGCACCAAATTGAATCAGCTGCAGTAGAAATAATTAGCTTACAGAAGATATTGCATGATGTGGTTATGTTTTTTTTCCTGGTCCCAGGCTGATAAGACAACATGTGGCTTTTATTTTGTTGGAGTTTAGGGCACTCTCTGCACCGCTTTTTAATGAACGGAAATTCTTAAAGACTACGTGCAGCTATTTAAAATCCCATCAGTACTTAATTTTTATTGTAAGTCTGTCTAACAGAGATATTTGTTACTTCTGCAAGTGGAAACGACCACAAATCTGTCTGAGGGATCAGTGCTGATCCATCCAGTGTAGCCTGTAACTGTAGCAGAAAACCAGCATTGAGAGCAAGGTGTGAATGCTTGAACAAGAATAGGAAGTCTGTGGGGAAGGATCAGTAAAATATTGATTTAATTAGTACTTCTAATTTCTTAAACAAGCATGCAAACTTTTTATTGAAGAAGTGTGCAGCTTTTCAGACTGCTCTTGATGTAATCTGAATAAGACCAGGCTACTGGCTTTCCAAGCCTTATAATTTATCTGCAGAACATATGAACTAATGATTTGAAAGCAGACAAGGTACTGGGTATTACAGGAAAAAAAAAAAAAAGAGAAATCTGAAGACAAGCTCTGCGAAGTCAAAAAACCCAAGGAATTTCCCAAAGTAAATCAGTTATAAATTATAAAGTGTGTTTTCAAGAAATGTCTTACTGTGTTTGGTGACGCTGTGGTTATTGAAAGCCCTAGTAATGCAATTAGGCAGCCAGTGAGGCGCTGACACAGAACAGAGCAATCAGGCACAGCCACATCAAAAACCAGCAAAACCAGCCCACGTGGTTTTTACCTGTGTTGTCTTCTGTGGATTATGATAATGATAAGCAGATGTGGGTCATTGTTGGCGAGCTGAAGAAATAACAGTCCAGCTTTAAATTTACAGTTCAGCTCAATTGTGACAGAGAAACCAGTAACAACTCTTAACCTCTGCTGAAGCCAAAAGGGCAACATGAAACCCTGATAGGGATAAAAAGAGGAATGTGTTGAAGTTGTCCTGCCCTAGGTGCACTGGTTTGGTAGTTTAGATTGTTCACACATTATTGTTGAACTTAATACTTGACACTGATCAAGTTTCTTGCATTCAAAATTAATGTGGACTTTATGAGGGTTGATTGTAATGTGACCCAAGAAAATTAATGTGGGAAATAAACATGGCTCAGGAGAAATTTATTTTTAAACTTGAATGAATACTCTCCTCCCTTTCAGAATTATTTTGGTCAATTCCTCAACTATATTCATGCATTAATCAGAGTATCCAAAGAATTTTTTCTTGTACAAGACCATGCAGACTGTGTGGAAAATACAACACTCCATCAATTTTACTGTTACATTACACAGACATACCACAGCTATGAAGATTTTATTTTGCCAGTGTTCTTGATTCACTAATGTCTTTGTAGGTTATTTTGTGAGTAAGAAAAAGGATATTGTCACCTGAAAAATCCAACTCATTATATTTGTTTACAGTCCACCACGTTAGATAAAATGCTTTCTGTCTAAAAAATGACCCAAGATAATTAGGAACTGAGAAAGCTTTATATATTTTTATTTTTTTTCCCCAGGAAATAAAAGCTTGGCATTTTTTAGAGTTATATCTTGAAAACAATCTGCTCTACCTGCATGGCTGTGTTCTTCTATTTAGGCATAATTGATGTGTTGTCATTTATTTTTCAAAGTTTGCAAATATCAAGCAGTCTCCTTGAAGTCTCGGGCTTCTTTTCTGGCTTAGTGGAGGCAAAGAGATATTTATCACCTGCCATGACACATTAAAAACCCCTTGAAAGTAGATTGACTGAGGCTGCTTTGCAAAGTGGCTTGCCAGCTCTTCCGTTGAAAGCGCAGGAAGAAGGAGATAATATCAAGTTGTTCAGTGGAATAACTCATTAATAAAATATGTTTAAAATGAAATGAGCTCTTAGGTGTGTTTGGAAAGGAAGAATTGTAACTGTTTGGGAGAGGGATGTGACAATACTATCGTTGCTTTTTAGGTAAGGAAAGACCAAAAACTATTATTTCTGTTGAGCCTCTTTTCTGCCAGGATGTTGACAATTGTAATTTATTTCTGTTCTCTGGAGCATATTCCTTTAGCCCCAAAGACAGGCAGGTGAAGCTCCGTTTCCTGCAGGATGAACTATTACTTTAAAACATTTTGATTCTTTGTCACTTGTCACCCGCATATTGCATTCCTGAGATGTATGTGAACAAACCAGGGGAGAATTAGGCAATCCTTCATCATTTACAAGCAACGTGATGCTGCTCTTTGCTGTAAGTGCTGGCAGAGAACTGACAGCTTTGAATTGGAATACTGCCTGGGGAGACCTACTGCTCTCCTCACGGTTATTAAAACAAGAATATCCAATGCAGCCCTCGATTTCCTGACCTTGAGGGGTTTGGGGATGCTGGGCTTAGACAGGCATCAACAGTAGCTGCTGATGTTCCAGAGGTGCAGGGCTTAGGATGGTCTTAACGCATGGACCGGAGCGTGTGGACACAACCTGAATGTTTAATGCGTTCCCCAGAAGTGACGGGTGTTGCGTTGTCTCAGAGTGCACCCTGAGCATTTCTACATGAAAAATTTGTAAGGAGGTGTGTTGTCCTTGACTGAGTTGCTTAGAAGGAGCTCTTGTCTCCATGGGAGGGCAAGCTTTTTCCTCGCTTTCCTTTTCCCTCTTCTAAGATTTTTTTTTCCCCTCAATCTCAGCTCAAAGGGAAGTTGGGACGTAAAGGCAGCTCTTATGTGTTGAGGAAGTGGGGTTTTTTCCACGCCACGTTACTGTAATTTCCTTCTGCTGAAGCCAATAGACATTTCCTGGAGTTATTCCCATGCTGAGCACCTTTCCCGTGTGTCCTACTGCCATCTATATCTCCTAAGTAACAAAAAAAAAAGAAAACAATTCATGTTTCTCCTCAGAAAATGTTTTACTGCCCATTTTCTTTCTGGTTTATTTCTTTTAATGTTCCCACTTTAAACCTTTATTGGCTGAGTGGTATGACCTTAGTTTTTCAGTGAATTTAAACGATGTGATCCCATTAGATTTTGTGATGGTAATTTGAATTTTTATTTTACAGTGTAGATAATCTAAATGTTAAAGGTGATGTGGATTTTTTTTTAAAGTAGGAATGTAGAATGAGTCAAACTGAAGGATTTTCCTTAATAAGAAGGTCTGTCGAAGTGCAAAAAACAGATAAATATATAAATGCAAGAAGCCTGAAGTCTGTTATAGAGGATGTCAAAGTGATTAAAGTAATCTTGTAAGTTATTAGCAAAATCATTGTTACAAATACGGTATTTTAATTCTAATTTGACCCATTTAAGTCTCGCATTAGAAAAGGTTATACAATGCAAAAGTAGGCGAGATGTGTCTGTCTGTATGGAGTGCTTATTGCCTTCTGCCTTTAAGCTTTTCTTCTTCACCAAAACTGCCTGACAGAGAAATAAGGCAATTCAGATGATCACTCTCTGTTTTGCTGATTTTTGTGAAGCACAGAGGATAGACACCCTCTTCTGTTGGTATCAGAAACTGTTGGGTGTTTGTGGTGCAGCAGAGCAAATAGTGACACTACAGGAAATTTCTGAAAAGCGCTGCAAATTCTGTCCCTGCAGATAACGTGAGAACTGCTGTCACTCTGTTGGCACCAGCTGGTCCATAGCACTGGAATTGTTGTTACCAAGAGTGTTTCCCTGTTTCTGCTCAGAATTTGGGTGTGTGATTTGGAGAGGGGGGGAGTTGCTAACCTTATGCTGCTGCAAGCCTTTCTGTACTCTGTTCTCTGTTAACAATTCACCCTGCTGGTTAGCAGAGATGGGGAAGTTCTGGAGAAGTACCCTGTCACAGGTACATTGCCCAGAAAACTGTGGAAGTGTAATACTGAATGCTGTGCTTGGTGCTTTACCCTGCCAAGAGCTGAAGAGGCAGCTGAAGAGGTTGCAAAGTGTGCAGAGCTGTTCAGTAAAGTGAGGGGTAATCTTGGGAGTGTGAAGGAGCGTTACCAGCAACTCTGGGAGGAACTGGATTGTAAAGCATCCTATTTTTAAAACACAAACTACTGAGATCCTCAATGCAGTGTGATATTACAGATAAATGTGAAACTTTCTCTGCCACAAATTTTAATTTCCTGGGGTGCTGAGATGTGACAAAGGAGACCCCTCACATCTGCAAATTCAATGACATTTAACAGTGTCTGGAGGGTGGGGAAGGTTAACGAATGTTTTGGGGAATGGAGAATAAATACCTTTGTAAATTAGTAGTAATTGTTTGGGGTGATTTTAGTATAAAAATCATTTGGCCAGGTTTTCGTCAGGAGTGTGAGATTTCATAAAGTTATTGAGTGAGATATTTCACAATAAGAAATTACTCCGTTTGTTGACCAGTGCATTAATATCAAACCATCACAAGGAAGCTGCCCACTGTTGGAACTACTCCCATTATCACCATAACAATGGTGCATAATGCTACTCTCCCTTTATATCAGGATTCAAAACACTGAATAAGCCATGAGAAAAGAATTCCAATATATTTTTTTTTTTCAATACAGGAGAAAAGGAGAAGGATACCCAGAAAACATTCTCAGGGAAAGTGATAAGGCTGACAGCTATTATTAGGAGTGCAATTGAATTTGCATCAGTATAGGCTGATGCAGGATTTCTTCCTTTCCTGAATCTGACAGAGGAAGAAGCTGGGAAGTGCTCAGAACTGTACCAAAGATGCCTGGCAAAGCAATAACAGGATATAACTGGATATAAAATAACTGGATATAAAACTGCTCCAGCCACAGTGGCTTTAACTCTTAGTAGTCTATCCTGGGCATTCATCCTATTTTCTGAAGTGGAAGATAAGGAAATACTTCAGTAAAATAATTCTGTCCTCAGTACCAGCACTACAGAGCCAGAGGGACTAAAGCATTTTAGAAAAAAATCCCTCTGTCCCCTTCAGAAGGAACAGATGCTGGAAAAGGTGCTCTGATCTAGGGCTGCTGCTCTGGAGCAGAGATGGGCCTCAGATTTGGTTACATTTTCAGACCTCTCCGTGGCAGGTTGCTTTGTGCTGGGGGTCTTTTGTGTCTCTGCTCTGTCCTCGGTTTAATTTTATGATGATAATATTGGGTAAACTATGGTGCCTCTCCTCTGCTTCAGCTGCCACTTGGAGAACTGGCTCAGAAGTGCCCTGCAGATCTTGACTATCATCCTCAAATCTGAGGACCGAGACTGCGAATTGAGTACTTGGCCCTCCTTAATTGCTTTGTGACAGTTTTGGATATTCCAAGCCACTCATATCCTTATGAAGTGGTTTGTAAGTTGCTGTGGGAATCTCAGGTTCCTTGACCTTGTTTTTTTCCTTGTGTGCAAAGATAATGGCAAATGCCTTGTGGTCCCAGATCTTGGTGTAGCTCTGCTGATGGCAAATTTGCAGGGACAGGAAGAAGCCAGTGTCTCATTTAATTTCTGTGGTATTGGTGCAGGAACCTTGGGTGTCTGTGTTGACTGGAGTCTCTCACCACATGGAACCATATCAAATGGAAATTTTCTTTCTCTGCTTTCACTCTACTTGAGGAGGAAATGGTCATCATTTGGGTACAATTCGTGCTGTGTCACTTCTGCCGCTTTTTTCCCCTGCATCATGTGTGGGTTTGTGTCTTCAGTCAGAATTTGTGGAAGGCTGTTCCCACACATTATGTAAGTCTTTCCAAAATTTCAGAGACAATTCTTGTTTTCTATCAAATTTCTTTTAACTGAATTAAACCTACTATGCTCTTGTTATTGTTCTTCAATAATAAATATAAAAACTGCTTTCACTGCTGAAAAAATTACCTGTTGTATATGGAGACATAAGCAAGATACCTCAAGACAGGGAATGAATGCTGCAATTTTTTTGATCTTTCCTACCTACATGTTTGCTGAAATACAAACATTTTTGAAGTAGATACATGCATCCATCCCCAGACAATGAATTTATTTAATGATTTTGTTGCTGAAATATCTCCAGTTTACAGCGTGAGGTAATTATGTTTGAGTCTCTAGGGGAGAATGGATTTATAGTAATGTGGGAAAAAGAAAGTTAATTTGGTTATCAGGCAGAAGATCAAAAGACTTTTATTAAGAGCAAAGTCATCGACTGCTTGGAGTAGAAAATGGGGAGAAACAGAAATATTAGACCGAAAGAAAAAACATCTAAAAATGCCTATGAATAATACAGTTTTAATTATTGTTTTCTAAAACTTCCTGAAATGTTCTTGCAAGTTTTAAAGATCCATGTGAAGAAGGTTGTGTAATACATTGAGTTACTCCTGATTTTTGTTTTTCTGTTTCTAAAGTCTGTAGGCACAGGCAGGACTCTGTCAGTGGGAATAACAAGAGGCCAAGAGGTTCAAGTAATTTTGCATCTTAAAATCGAGGAGGTGCATTGTCTAGCCTTGTATGCTGGTGTCATGTGAGATTACCCTGCACCTCAGCCATGCCACGTAGAGGGCTGCCTTCTCCATTTAGAAATCTAATTGAAGTGATTATTTCATAACCTTCAAGTAACCTTTTCCAGGGTATGTCAGTGGATGCAAAGGGGTTCCCATTACACAGCACGCGCTGTCTTCACTGTAGGGGCACATCTGTTATTTTTCTGACCTTCTCTGAATTAAGAAATTGCAAGCATTTAGATATTCTCTTTCTCCCTCATATCTTACACGCTCAATCTGTGTCATTGTCTCATATTCCGTTGTTGGCGGTAACAAAGTTGCCATGGGAATATCGACTGGAAAAATTTAGCACTTCCCTTTGGTGATAGAAATATCTGGATGTTAACATTTCTGTGCTGATCTTATGCTATGAAATTTAAATGTCTACAGTAATTAATTCAATTTATCAGTTTAAAAATGTGATAGCTGCTGCTACAGCTCAGTGTTTCTTTCTCTGGCTAGAAAATGCTTCAGAGAAGCTAATTGATTAGGTGTTTTACAGTCTGATCACTTAACATTGCTTAAATATGGCAGCAGTGGAGAAAATTTTGATACATGCATCTTTGAGGAAAGAATGAAGGTTTTTCTCTGCATTATCTGAACTCTGACTGTGGTTTTACCTCCTCCCTAGCCTTTACACAGACAGCAACTCTGTTTTCATTGTAAATTGCTTTTCCCCAAATACTGCATGTCTTTTAATTTTTTGGGGTTTTTTTTTGGGTTTTTTTACGTTGTACCAGTCCTTGTTTTCTTCCTGGAGTTAATGATGAACCTCATTTACAGAAGACAGTAATAAAATGGCAGCATCTGTCCTCTCCCAGGCTTGTGGAGCATTTGTGCTGGCAGCACTCGAGTTGCCTTAGAGCAGTCGCTCGCTTGGGCTGCTGAAAGCTGCCCAGACCACCATGGCAATCTGCACTCTTCATTTTCAGTGTCACATTCATTAAAGGTCTTTAAAATGGATAGGAGGAAAAGGGATATTAATAACTTTGAAGATGAAGGAGCAAAAAAAAAAACCTCGGACCTTAAAAAAGAACAATGATAAACCGTGACATTGTCTGTTACGTGAAGAATTCTTGAGAAAGGGCTGGAAAAAAGGACAGTATTTCATTCTTGAATCTCTTTGAAATCAGACCTGTTTGAAAACACCACCTCTTTTGAGGAATGGGTGAAACCCAGGGGAATAATCAGGGAACAGAGATATTTTATTCTTTTGTACTCTTTCTTAAATCTGTGCTGGTGTCTATGATAGAGAACTATTTTGTTTTCTGGTCCCCAAACTTCACTGAAAAAAAAAATTGATTTGTTTAAAACAAACTGTCTATATTAAAAAATAAACAAATAACCCAAAACCAACCCAACTGTGGAGCGTTTTTCCTGCTGATGGCTAAAGAAATCTTTCAGAAACCTCTGGGAGTAGTTTGCCACTTCAGTCCACAAATACAATTTCTTTCCACTTACATGGCTTGCTCTGAAGGCTTGGGCTACAGGATCTCAACTGGAAAACCTCAGTGGTGTGGACTGTCATTTGGCTGTGACCAGTGCTGAGGCTAAATTGCTTTAATTAAAGGCTACTCCAGAGTAAGCTGCCATTAGTATCTGTTACTGCAAGATTAAAGTTCGTTTATTAGGTTGTTATTGATGGAATTAAGCCGACTGATTGGGAGCAATTCAGAACTGAAATAACTGCCATGCGAAGAATGAAACCATTTACTGATAATAGCAGAAAACTTATGGATCAGAATAATAAGATAAGGCCAATTTAACTAAAAGGGGACAGCAAAGATCTATTGCAAAGCTCAAACTTTTAATCTGATGTGGCCTCACAGCCCCTGCGGATGGACCCCTGTTCTGTGTAAGGTCACCTGTGGCCATGGAAGGCTCCAAAATCTTACCAGCTCCACTGATGCACTGGGGATCATTTTGAGATCAGCTGTGACGTGCACTTTTTAAGCCACTTCCTTTGCACCACAATCCTTTTGTTTGTCGTGGTGGAGGATGGTGTGGAGAGAAGCGCTGAAGCAAATGCCAAACTTCAGACCATATGTGCCAGCTGGAACCCCAAACTGGCTCAGTGGTGGTGCAGGAGATGCTTGTCCTTGGATGAAAGGTGCCATAGGACAGAAAGATGTCAGGAGAATGAGATCTGGGCTTGGTACCAGCACCACCCGAGCCAGAAGAACAACCTTAATTGGCCTGTTGTCCGGTCTGCTCTCTGTTCCTGCTTCTCACCGTGCCATCTGAGGAGACAGAAGAATTGGCATCAGCCTATCTTTTTTTCTTTAATTGTTCTTCCTTATTCTTCAGAGGGGCCTCTCATGGTCTTACCTGCAGGTGATCTATAATCAAAATGACATATTCCACACATTTTATAAGCCACCCAGCTGTGTTTCCAGGAGGGAGGAAGGTGAGGCTGGGGTGTTGGGGATGAAGGTGACGTGTTGCAGGAAGGGCTTTTTTCTGCCTGAGGCGAAATCAGGATGTTTGTTGCTTCTGTGATGCAGGGATGCTGTGTGCTTACAAAGGTTTCTGAAAAGCCTTTGCTGGTTCTGACTGCACTGAGCTGCCTTTGGTAAGCAGGCCTTCTGGTATGCTGTAAAAAGATAAAATGAAAAAAACACCCCAAGAAGTATACTTTCTTTTTAACGTTCATGGTGATTAATGTGAGTGGCTTTTCACAATCCATTTCCAATTAATTTTAGTGAAGGGAGCTCTGCTGGCCCCGTATATGAACTAAACTTCGTATTAAAAGATTATTGAAGGGATTGCAGGCTAAGGATTGAACCACAGGGCTTAAGTTCCAAACTAGCCATCATGTGAGTCACCAAAAACCACAGTTCTCCCTCAGTATGAGTCATCCTAATGACACAGCTGGAGCCAGTGGAGCTCAGAGCCTAATCTCCTCTGCCACCAGCAGAAGAAGACAAGGAGAGGTCACAGCGTGTAACACGCTTTCAGCTCCCAGGTGATGTAGCTGGAAGGGGAATAAATGGGTATTTTGATGCTTTCCATTTCAGGGTTGAGACTGGGTGAACAGCAGTCATGCTGCAACCCACTCTGATCCCCTAAAATCAGAGGCACCTTTTGTCTTTTTCAGAGAGAGAAGAAATATTTTGCTCTCCCTTTCTTCAAGCTCCTTTGAATACCTACAGTGCAACTTTATCTCATCCTTAGTAGGGGCATAAAACTGTTAGTGCTCATGAGAAGGCTGTTATTTGCTGTCCTTGCTGTTGCAGATTTATTATTATTTTCCCTCTTCCCTGAGCTATAATGTCCTCTACAAATACACTTGACGTTGGAGAGCAAGAAAACATCTTTTTGAATTGCATTTTGATAATTATATCATAGTAAACCCCATGTATGCTAGGATTTGAAAGGACAGGAGTTGACTGACTAGCCTTTGTAAGCTTAACTGAGAAGCAGAAAAAGAAGGGTTGCATTAATCAACACTGTCTCCTGTAGTTTTGTTCTGCTAATGGCCAAGATATGCTATAACTCTGAAAGAGCTGATTCATTCTTCCCCATTTATTCTCGGGATGTGCTAAGAACTGCAGAATGTGATGCCAAGTGCTGGCTGCTGCCTGTCCTGGAGTTGGAGTGGCTGCAAGGAGCTGTTAGGATGGTGCTGACTTTAATCCAGAAAGCAGCGGCATAACTGGAAAAATACAAAGTTTTGGCTTCTGAGGGTGTGAGTGGGCAGATGTGGTAGGTGAAACCCTTGGGATGGAGAGGATTTGATCTGAGAAGGGATTTTGGTTGATTGGTTGGTTGTTTTTTTTCCTTTAACCTAAGTGTAGCTTCATTTATGACGCTTTCCATCACTTAGTCTGTTCTCCTTAGCACCTTACCCCTGGTAAATGGTGATGGATACTTCTTCAATCCTACATTACCCATATCACATCTGAGAGCCTTTTATGCAGAGAGATGACAGTAGGGTAAAAAAAGTGGGAAAACACTGTTAGTGGTGTACAAGTTATGTTTGTCTGAAGAAAAACAGATGCTGTTGTTATTTGTTCCGAAGCAGCTGGTACCACTTTATTTTCATGATTTGTGAGAGACAGGAGGGGAACACGTTGTACTTTCATGGCCCTCTGACACAGCTCAACAGGGGAGAAAGCACACTTGCATCTGCTGGCTGTAGAGGTTTACAGATGATTTGTTATGATCCATTCTCCGAGCAGAAGGAAAAACTGCTACATTCCACACAAAATATACTATACGTGCTTTTCGTGCAGTAAAATGCAGAAGCTATTGGTCATTGCTAAAAAGCCCCATATTTTCCTTTTGGGTTGAATCTTGAAGTGCTCTGCAGTGGGGCAGCCTCTCAGGCTGTCTCAGGTATTAGCAGTTACATGTGCATCTGTGTTACTTTTTTTGGGAGAGCAAAGAGTGACAAAAATAAAGGGATACTTCCTGTACAATGTAGGGAATCTGTGAGAGCAGTGGAAATAAGATCTCACAGAGTTTGGGCACCAGCAAGTCTCAGATGTTGAAGAAAACTCTCTCCTGAGAATTTGTCTCTCAGATAATTCTGGGGGTGAATCGTTCCTTGTAAAGCATGCAAATTTGGCCTTTTATAGTGAGAAAAAAAGGGAATAGAAAGAGGAAATTGTTGTAACTTCTGATGTTACAGATTGTGCAGTCAAAGCGATCGCTTTATAAGCCTCGCTTTGTAGGTTATTACAGAATATTATTCTATTGGAAGTCAAAGAGAGGATGTCTGTATTAGCCCTGATCAGGTGGAGAAAATACAGACAGAGACAAAGAGTAACTACACCAAAATATATAATCCTGTGAAGAATAAAGCTGGGTTCACAAAAATTCACCTGTCAGTCAGGTAATAGCTCAGCTGCTCTGTGGGCCCGGGGCACTGTGAGCTGAAGAGTTTCACCATGAGTTGAAGAGTTTAGGCTCAGCCTGGCAGTCTTGACTCTGTCTTGTCAGGAGAGACAAAAACTGCACATGCTGATGCAATTCACCAGTTGGTCCTGAGAATTATACACAGGGATGTGTATGATTGGATGGACCTGTACAGCAGCTTTCTGTGTGCCAAACCAACCTCTTATGTGTTCTGTCAGCCTTCCTTGGTTTTCCCTGCTCAAGGGAAGGGCTGCAAATCTGTCAGTAAAAGAGCTCCATGTTTCACTAGTTTTTCTGGGATTTTTTACATTGAAAGGTGGAGAAAGATTTGAGGTTTGGCTTTCCAAGTCAGAAATTGGAGACATGGTTGCTTGGAGTGCTTCTGCAGCTCCTTTATGTGGCACTAATTGTCACAAAAAAAAACCCTTGTCATCTGCCTCCATACCCTATTTGTAACTTCGGATTATTCATTCTAGGTGCATATGGATTTTTCTGTGAAATTACTGGAAAAGAATGAAGGCAGATTTGAGAATGAGTTGCCTGGAAGAATTGCATGTGTGGCTTTGGCTTTTACAGCATTTTTTTTTAAAGTGTTCACCTGGATATGCAACAACAACAACAACAAAAAAGGTGTTTTACACCCCCACCTCCTTGTTTCTCATCCTTTTCATCAGATGGAATTTCTCCACTCTAGCAATAGATAGTAGTTCCTCTAGACCAGTAATTTCATCCAGAGCATATGGAATTGGGGCAGAGACACACATTTGCCCCTTTGGCTATCTCTGTTCTCCCCCTCTTGCATACAAGCATCATGATGCAGACTTAGTGTGCACAAGTTGAAGTCTCTTTTGCATTGTGTGGACCAGCAAAGTATGAAAGTAGAGATGCTGTGAGATTGGGAAGTAGATTTGCATTTTAGAAGAGCAGGGAAGGGAATTATGTTAACAGGATATAATGGAAAAGGGGGGGAGCGGGAAATGTCTATTTGGGCGTTACTGTTGTATGACATTTTAGGTACATGGCAGATTGTTTTTAATTTTTAGCTTTCTTTATATGTTGTTATATATTGATACCCCAATAGCGCCACTTATCACAAATGTGATGGAAATATTGGAACAGGTTTGCTTGTAAATGTATTTTTAACTTTAATTGCAATGACAATTATTGCAGTAACACTGAGAGCTGTGAAGGAAGTGTCATTTTTGGTCCACTCTCCATTAAGTCTAGCTATTTACTATTAGCAAACTTTCTATCCCTGAACATCAGGAGATGATCTTGGAGGCGTTTTGTTTGTTTATAAGTACTCTGCAGCAGAGCAGTGCAAGCTATCATTGTTTAGTCAAAACTAAGAGTGGACCACAGAAGAATCCAGATGGATACCTTACTCTTCACAGGTAAAGTTGGTTTGCTACTCCTAAGTACTGACTAGCCAGCTAGTTTAATTTTAAACAGAAAATAGCCTTGTGATGGCGAAGAAGGTTCTTTATTAAAATAACAAGGGTAGTGGCAGTGAGAAACAGCTTATTCAGAGGGTGTAAAAGACCAGGGCCATTTACCAGCAGGCAAAAGGTAGCCCTGAGCAAGATGTGAACAATGAATTGTCAAGAAGTGGTGACAGGAAAAGGAACAGTGAATTTCAACCATTAAATTTCCTTTCAGATGTCTTTGCAGCCTATTTGCCTTTCCCTTTCATTTGGTTTCAACAGTGTATAAAGAAGACTTCTGTCACTCAGAGCTATTGTTCCAGAACTTTGTGGGGTTTAAGTTGATACAACGTTCACTTATGTCACTAAGGCTGCCCCAGCACTCCCAGCCTGGCACTATTTGCCATTAAAAACACATTTGGTCAACAGTAACTGCTTTTCTTTAAGAGTGTGGTTCCTGAGTAGATTCTCCTGCTCTTTGGCAAGGCGGCCTAAGCTGTACCGTGGTCCTGACGATATTGCTGTTTGACTCATTTTGTCAGCCGAATTCAAAGATTTATTTTCTAGGCAGTGTCCCAGCTTGCATGATTCTGTTTTACTCCTACTTGTGAAAATCAATCATGGGGAACATCGCAGAGGAAATTACCAGCATGAGCAGAGAGTTCCTTGAGCAGCAGCTTATCCCCGTGCCAATCAAAAGGGCTTTGCTCTTTTCCTGCCTATGTTTGCAGGAGTCCAAGAATTATTTTAGGTCTGTTGTGTGGTACAAAGCAAGAGCTTGTCTATAAGAGTGAATGACTCTGCTTTTTTGTATGCCTCAGATTTTCTTGTTTATAACTTATTGGTATGATAATCATAATGCAAACCTTTATAAAATTATGCATTGCAATCCAGTGATACATTATGAGAGTATTGATATTTTGTGCATTCCCTGGAGGTGAAAGTTTTTCTTGTAGATATAGATATCTATATTTCTATCATATATGAATAAAATATGTGTACATCTGTATGTTTCTCAGCTGAATAATGGAGGCTCCCTTCTTGTGTAAACCTGCTGTAGTCCTGATTAACTCCAAGAGCAGGAGGAGGAGGCAACAAACATGTTGCAGCTTGAGAGGCTTTCTGTAGCTTTGTAGGATGCCAACACAAACCAGAAGAAATAATATGTCATTGTATGTGGCCTACAAGAATATCTGAACTGGAAGGAGATTGAATAAAAGGGGTGGTGCTTTCGAGCTTGTCAACTGCTTGAATGGAGCTTTTCGCATCCAAGCTCTCTTGTTGGAGAGATGTGAGGCTGCTGGAATGCTCTGTTCCAGAGTCACGGATCAGTCCTTGTTGTAAGTGCTTGGAGGAATGCTGGAGTAATTAAGCTGAAATCTTTAGTGAAGTTTGCAACTGCTGTGTTATGGTTGGCAGACAGCTCATTTCTGAAAATACAGCGGAGGGAGTTGTTTTTGTTGTTGTGGGCAGCAGGCACGACTGAATCCCTAAATAACTGATGCCTGTGCTTAGCTGTCTGCCCACTACAGTGTATTTCCTAATCTTCACTGGTTCATTTTTCTTGCCCAACAGTGACACTGCTTGCTTGCTATTTAAATACTGTTATTGGTCAATGGCTGGTACT